ACTGTCTTTCCTTCCTCGTGGCGATGCAAGTGCGAGAGCCAGTTTGTCGTTTAACGGTGACGCTAATCACCGATGCAAGACTCCTAAGAGATAAAGGAGAGAAAGAAAACGTGGCGAGCAATTGGCACGAATCCGAGAACGGCAGTTCGACACACTCGAAGGAGGAGTGCACGCTGTACAGTGAGAAACCATGTGGCAGGAATCGTTCGATGGAATCGCGATTAATCCTCTGATCGCTCGGTTCGCGAGCGATTCGTATAATACATTCGTAGGTGGCTTCCTCAGGGTCGAATCGCGAAACCCTCGTGGCTCGGCTCGTTGAATACGGGATGAGATGATTCAGAGAATCGCGCGTTTTCGTGCGTGCTGTGTTCGCTTTTCGAATCGATAATGCCCCTGGCCGGTGTACACGGAACGCGTGCTAGCTGTGTACATCGGTGCACGCTCATTATCTTGCAAATTAATTCCTTTCTAACGCGCACGGAAAAATGCGTGTTACCTGCTCGCGCGCGGCCTCTCTCGCGCCACGCTACGAGCATCGTAATTGTAAGAGGCACCGTTTTTCCACGGGGTAACTATCTTTCGGGATATAAACACGGCTCGGAATCTGCATGCAACAACTCTTGGTTACAGAGACCCAGCGAACCTAGCAAAATTCAGATGTAAATTCAAACGGTGGCTCCCCCGTGCAGTGCACGTGCTACATAATAACTTCACTAGAACAGAATCGAGCGATGCGACGCAAGACGAAAAGTGGCAAGGAATGAGAAACTGCGAATCAAATTTTCCCCCCGTGGTGTATTTTCCAAGCGAATCTCATTCTTTGAGGTGTCTCGTTCCCTTATTGTAGTTACACACAGAGTATACAGCGATTTTAATTTAATTTAAAGCGATGTACTGTATTTCGTGTGTTGAATTAACCGAGGAATTCACGAAAAGTTCTCTTGTGTTCTCTTGCAGAAATAGGATTGTCCTTTGAAATTCTATAAATTCTTTGAAGTATCCTGTTTTCGTCGAAAGGCATACAAAAATCTGAATTTAATTTAAAAACTGTGTTTTCTGTATTGGAAGTTAAGTTGAATTTTTCTTTTTTTTTTTTGAGGAGGAAGGCTCACTTTTGAGTTTATAAATATTTATAAAACTATAAACTTCAGCAACTTTAATTTAACTCAAAAGGTTCCTCTGCGTTCTCTCGAAGAAAATGAAAAGAAAAAAAAAATCTTAAATGTAAGAAAAAATTGATTTAATTGAACTTTTATTGTTGGTCACGTTTCTATTTTATTTCCGTTTTAATGACAAATACAGTAACTTCAAAACACTTTAATCTACCTGACTTCATAAAAGTACTTAAACTACACATGAAGGATACTCATGCAAAAGAAGCTATTTGAATAATTCAGGTTTCTCATTGGCGAAAGGAATTTATAACGGTCATGCGATAAAAGTTTTAGAGTATAGAAACATCATTCATTTAGAGGCGAATACGTTAATGATAGCGAGTTAATTAGCTATCAAAAAATACGATAAACTAAATGTCGTCATTTCCCGTATATCTTGATACACTTTCGTCGAAAATTGACATACATG